TTAGGCGCAGCAGAGGCCGGCAGGTCTGGATGGTAATGGTGACTATGTTCGGGACGATCCCTTAAACCTGGAACCCAAGCGCACCCACTTTGTCATTGCCTTCCCTTACTCGATGCCGGGGTTGGCGATCCCGTCGCCGTAACAACGCCGGCGGGTTCCTCCATTTGGCCCATGCTATAGTCCGCCACACAGCATCCGCACTGGATTTCCGCCAGTCATCGAGTTAACCTGCCCACATTGCACCCGGGATCAGTCCCGGATTTGCTGAAATCTGCCAACGGCGGTGCCCCATTGAGTTTTGGTTTGTGCGTCCTGGGTTGTGGTTCTTTTGCAAGGGTATTTGCGGAGTCTATCGCCGGTATACGTGGCGAGATTGACCTCTACTTCGCCAGCCGCGACCTCGCCAGGGCTCGGGAATATGCGGGCCGTTTCGCCGGACTCGACGCTTTCGGCACGTACGCCGCCGCTGCCGCCGATCCCAGGGTGGACGCCCTGTACGTTTGCACACCGCATCATCTGCATTTGGAGCATGTCGCGCTGGCCGCCCGCTGGGGTAAGCACGCTCTGGTCGAAAAACCCATCGCCGGCACCCTTGCCGACGCCGAAGCAATCGTCCAACTGGCTGGGTCATCCGGCATTAACCTGATGGTGGCAGAGAACTACCGTTTCCTGCCGGCGGTGCAGGAAGCCAGGAAATTGATTAACCAGGGCCGTCTGGGGCAACTCAGGTTGATTCAGTTGCAGGAGCAATACCCGTTCCAACCCTCGGGGTGGCGCAACCGGGCGCACCTGAATGGCGGCGGCGTGCTCATCGACGGAGGGATTCACAAAGTCAGTGGGCTGGCGTTCTGGTCCGGGCGGCCCTACCAGGTCTTCGCCCAGAAAGTCCTGCCCGGCCAACCGGGCCTGGAGGCTGAGGATGGAGTCGTCGTGATGACCAGGACGGAGGACGGCGTCGTAGGTATCATCAACCACTCCTGGAGCATAGCGCCCGCAAAACCACATGCCTGGGTCTCGATTTCAGGTACAACGGGCACCCTGTATTTCGAGATGGGAAGGCCGTGGTTGAGGCTTGTCGATGCAAACTCGGAAACAATAGTGGAGTTGGAGAATGACTCCCGTGGACTGGTTCCCATGGTCCGAGAGTTCCACCAAAGCATTCTGGAGTCAAGGGAACCTGCAATGACCGGAAGGGAAGGGATTGCCGATCTCTCCCTGGTGCTCAAAATGTACGAATCTATGGAACTTGGTTTGCCGGTGATCGTTGATTGAGGTCACCCGTCCCGGGCAATCCTGCACGGTTCGTTCCCGTCCGGCCTCGCGTTCCCACAACCCCGCCGCACTTTGGGGTTGCCGTGGTGATACCGGGAATATTGCTTTACGAATTTTTGCGCCTTCGCGTGGTTCTCGTTATGTCCTGTAGACACGCAGATGCAGCCCGCCGGCCCACCCTTGCCCGTACTCCGGCACGCCGTTACAATCGCCCCACCACCTCCCCCGCCTTTAGGAGTCCCGTTGCAAGCAGCCACTCCAGTCGCGCCCGAAGCCGCCGGCATTAAGAATAACCGGGTATTCATCCTGTCCAGCCTCTCCGTGGGCCACGGGCTGTCCCACATGTTTGACCAGGGTTTCCCCCTGTTGCTAACTGAGATTGCGGCGGCGTTGGGTTTGGGTAACTTTCGCACCGCTGTCCTCCTCTCGGTCAAACAGGGCGGCTCCAGCGCAACCAGCCTTGGCGGCGGCCCGGTAATCGACCACCTGAAATCCTACTGGGGACTAATCCTGACGGCATGCATGTTGGTCCATGCCATCACCTTCGCCGCGATGGGTGCTTCTCCAACCTTCGCACTGTTGGTCGTAGTTGTCCTGTTTCTGTCCATCCCGGGATCCTTATGGCATCTACCGGCGGCGGCGGCCATCTCCCAACGATTCCCGGAGCGTCGGGGTTTCGCCATATCCATGCACGGATTCGGTTCCAACATCGGCAACGTCACCGGTCCGGTGCTGGCAGGTGCGCTGTTGGCTACCGGATTCCTCATCTGGCAGCACGTGTATTTCATCTACGCCGGGCTGGCATTGCTGATGGCCGTGTTCGTATGGTGGTCGCTGCGTGGGCTGGGCAGGGACACCGCCTCCGAAGGAGGCAGCAGCCTTTCCAGGCAGTTCGGCGGCGCACTTTCGCTTCTGAAGAACCCCATCGTCATGGCTCTGATCTCGGCAGCGTTGCTACGGGGAATAGGACTTAACGCCCTGTTCAACTGGACTCCTTTTTACCTTCGGGAAGACCTGGGAATGAGCGCCCTGGAAGCGGGCGTTTATTACGCTTTGCTCACCGGCATGGGTATAGTGTCGGCGCCGATTTTGGGCTGGTTGTCCGACAAGTGGGGGCGGAAGGTGGTACTGGCGCCAGGATTTGTCATTGCCGGTTTGCTGTCCATGGCCGTGGTTGTTGTGGGTGACAGCCTGCTGCTGATACCCATATTGGCTGGCCTGGGCCTCTTCAGCTTCGCTCTGCACCAGATCATTCAGGCCTCGGTTCTGGACTACGTGGGACAGGGTACCGAGGCCACGGCCATCGGACTGCTTTTTGGCATCAACGGCGTAATTGGCATCGGCTCGCCCTTCCTGGCCACCGCTATTATCGAGTATTGGGGAGGCTACGGCGCCGTGTTCTACTATGCGGGCATCCTGACCCTCATCACCGCAGTCATCGTTATGTTCATCCCCTTGCGGAACCAAAATAGCGCCACGTCTGCCGGCGGTTAGCGGCGAAAGAACCATTCGCCCCAGGGTGTCCTGCATAAGAATATTCGCCCGGATGCGGGCCACATCGCCACCGGCGCGCGGGCAATTTGCCTACGGCCCGATCCACCTAATATCGAGGCGGCCCAGGGTTCCCCACCTTCGTCGCAACCAGGTAAAGCCAGCGGTCTCCGGGTTCGAAGGATTCCAAATCCAGACTGCCGTACGCCCGGAAATCCCCGAAGCCTGCCCGTTCGAGCATCGCAGCAAGCTCGCGGTATGTATAGAGCCGCATTGATAACTCTCTGAATTCCTTCTTGCCATCACGGATGAACGTCCAGGCCGACTCGACCCGGCTGGTTTCGTGGTCGAACCCACGTTCTTCCAGCGCCAACAGGTCTCCTACCTCTTGCCAGACCCGCGGTTCGTCCAGCATTTCCGACAGCCGCGTTTCAAACAGCGGAGTGTCGAGAATAAAACGTGCGCCCGGCTTCAACGACCTCGAAACCGATGCCAGGAATTCGGCGTTTCCCTCGTCATCGAAATATCCAAAGCTGCTCCAAAAGCAGATGGCTCCGTCGAACTCCGCGTCCCACAGCAGGTCCCTCATGTCCCTCTGCTCCCACTGCACCGTCACACCGCGCGCAGCGGCAGACTCCGCGGCGGTTCCCAGCAGCGCAGGGCTCTGGTCAACGCCCGTGACCCGATAACCGAAGGAAGCCAACTCCAGGGACAGGCGGCCCCCACCGCACGGTACGTCCAACACTCTCGAAACCACCGGCAGCCCCAGCGCGGTCTGGATGAATCCCATCTCAGCCCGTGTCTGCTCCTCGCTCCGCGACGACCGGACAAAGTCCAGGCACAATCCGGAGAAGAAGTCGACCCACCACTCATCCGGCTTACCCAATGCTGGTGCTCACTTCGCCAGTAACGGGATCAACTCGCCAGAAGTTCCCGCAGCTGGCTGTCAATGAATGCGGTGTCGGTGGGATTGCGCCCCGGTCCCCCACCGGTGTGCCCCCAGATCGTCGGGATGGTGCGCAACTCGGCGTTGGGCATCAGGGCGACCTCGATCCGGTTGTCCTCCGGTGGGAAATACTGATCCGTCTGGGACGGCATGACGAATGCCCGCGCCTTTATCGACCCCAAAGCCTTCTCAAAGTCGCCCCGGTAAATGGGGTTGTCGCTGATGTCCCCGGCCTGCCACGTCGCGACCATCGCCAGGATGTCGTTGGCGTCCTGCTGCAGGTACCGTCCTTCCCAGGCGGTGATCAGGTAGTCCTCCAGGGACGAGAATCCCAGATCCAGAAACACCTTTTCTCGGTAAAACGCCTGTGACGGGGCCCAACCCGCGTACACGCGCGCCATCGCCCGCAATCCCTTCCGTGGCGGCGTGTCGTACCAGCCATTGTTCCAGGCATCGTCGGCGCACAGCGCGGCTTTGACTCCTTCCAGGAAAACAAAGTTGTGCCGGGAAGTACGCGCCGACCCGCACCAGGGGGCGATCCTCTCCACCATATCGGGAAACATTGCTCCCCAATGGAATGTCTGTTGCGCTCCCATGGAGAACCCGCAAACCAGCGCAATACGCTCTACGCCGAACTGCTCGGTCAACAGGCGGTGCTGGCATTTGATGTTGTCGTAATAGGTGATTTTGGGGAACCTGGCCCGGTCGTAGGGAGTTGACGTATTGCTGGGCGACGATGACAGGCCGTTGCCGAACAGGTTGGGTACTACAATGAAGTAGTGCGACGGGTCCAGCGCCATCCCCGGCCCTATCATCGGCTCATTGGCCGGGTGTTGGGACCCAAAGAACGTGGGGAACACGATGGCGTTGTCCTTGCGCGCATTCAGCTCCCCATAGGTCTTGTAAGCCAGCCGGGCGCCCCGCAACCGCAGTCCGCACTGAAGGTCGATATCTCCCAGTTCGTAGGTCTGGTGGTCGCTCATGCGAGTACCTCTGCAGGGTTGAATACTTGTGCTAAAACCACTAGGCTCTCACCAAGTCTAACAGCGTGGAGGAACATCGTGCTAAACAAAGTGCATCACGTAACATACGTTGTGGAAAACGTGGATGACATGGCTGCGTACCTGGAATCCAACTTTTCACTCACGCCCATCCGAGCCGACGAATTCACCGAGCGCGGCTTCAAGTCAATTCTCTACCAGATCGGAGACACCCTGGTCGACTTCTTCCAGCCCCTGAGGGACGACACACCCCATGGCAGCCCAGTTGCGCGCCACCGGGCCCGGAGTCATGCACGTGGCCTGGGGTGTAGACGGCATCGACCAGCTTTTCAATGATCTGAAGGCTGCGGGCAACGAGATGCGCGGCGACGCGCCATCCGCCAGTCCCTTCGGCTACAAAACAGCCAGCATCGAGACCAGCAGCTCTCACGGCGTATACTTCCAACTTGCCGAGGGAGAACATAGTTAGCAGATGGAATACACGCAACTCGGCCGAACCGGTTTGACCGTTTCCAGAGCCGGCTTTGGCGGCGGGGGCATCGGGCAGGTTTGGGGACCCACCGATGAGCAGGAAGCCATCGCCGCCGTCCATCGGGCGCTGGAACTGGGAGTCACTTTCTTCGACGTGGCCCCGTCCTACGGGCGACGGGAAGGCCGAGGAAGCTCTGGGCAAGGCGCTGGAAGGCCGTGCGGAGTCGGTGGTAATTGCCACCAAAGTGCGGCTCCGGGCGGAAGACATGGACGATGTCGACGGAGCCGTTCGCCGCTCGGTCGATGCCAGCCTGAGCCGATTGCGGCGCGACGCGGTGGACGTGCTGCACGTGCACAACCGGTTCACCGAGCATCGCGGCGAGGTACTGGACTCTCTTTCGGGAAATGACGTGTTGGGGCCGGTGCTGGAAGCCTACCGGAGCGTCCAACAAGCGGGCAAGACGCAGTTCATCGGGCTGTCCGCAATGGACCACCACGTTCCCACCATGAGGCGAATTCTCGAAAGCGGTGAGTACGATACCGTCCTGGCCTACTACAACCTGCTCAACTGGACCGCCCAGGAACCGCCGCCTCCAGGGGCCGACCTTTTCGACAACGGTCAGATTATCCCGCTGGCCAGGAGCCTGGACATGGGCGTCATCGGAATTCGGTCCCACGCCGCCGGGGCTCTCACCGACGCCCTCGACCGGCCACCGCGGCCCAATGACGCGCTGATGGAAAAAGACCTGGTCAGCGCACGCAAGTTGGGGTTTTTGGTGCAAGGCCCGATCAGGACTCTGGCGCAGGCCGCCATGGTTTTCAGCCTCATGAACCCGGATATCCACACCACCGTCCCGGGCGTCAAAAACCGGGCCGAGGCTGAAGAGATCGCTGGCTGCATGGACTTGGGGCCCATTCCGCCTGACCATCTGGACAGGTTGCGCGAACTGTACGAAAACGATTTCCGCGACTAGCGGTTCCCCGGCAACGGCGTCGCGCCGAATGCTCTCCGGGGAATAGACGGTAGACCTAAGTCAGGCGGGAAAACGTGAGCCGATGCCCGGCTATACGCCACACCGTTGCGTGGTCCAACGTTTTCAATTTATTCGGACCATGTGCGTTGTCCACTGGCTCCAATCACCAGCGATTGCGCTACCTGCGGCGAACCGCGAGCGCCCAGGCGCTCGCGTCGCTGGCGGGGGCGCGTCGTCATCATGGAACACAGCCCCAACCTCTATCGTGGCTGTGCCTCGCCTTGTCTGCCACGGCCCGGACGATTAGAATCTGGTATCGAGCGGCGGTAGACGACCCGAAATAATCGGCAGGAGTGTACGTATGGATGTTGGAATGATGATGATCTTCTCGAGTTACGGCTGGGAAGATGGCTCGGACGGCCAGATGTGGGAGGAAGAGCTGCGCCTGGCTGAAATCGCCGCCGATGCGGGCTTCGATTGTCTCTGGTCTGCGGAACATCATTTCAACGATTATTCCTTCGTGCCGGACAATATCCAGTTGATGACGCACATTGCGGCAAAGCATCCCAACATCGACGTGGGGACAGCCGCCGTCATCCTTCCCTGGCATGACCCGTTGCGGGTGGCGGAAAATGCCGCCGTCCTTGACTTGTTGAGCAATGGCCGGTTGCGACTGGGATTCGGGCGAGGTCTGGCCCGGCGCGAGTTCGAAATCTTCGGCATTAGCATGGATGAGTCGCGGGAACGTTTCGACGAAGCGGCGCCCATGATAGTCGACGCCCTCAGGACAGGGTTCATCGAGGGCGACGGGACTTACTACAAACAGGCTCGCACGGAAATCCGGCCCCGTCCGCAGCATTCCTTTGACGGCCGTATCTACGCGGTCGCCGCCAGCGAAGAATCGGTTCTTTCGGCCTCCAAGCTTGGCGCACACATCATCATGTTCGCCGATCGCCCCTGGGAGATGCGGATGCCGGGGATCGAACGTGGCCGAGCCCTGCACCGTGAATTTCACGGGACGGAACCGCCGGCCCTGATGCTCTCGGAATTCGTCGTCTGCGGCACTGACATTGTCCAGTGTGAGGAAGAAGCGCGCCAATACCAAGGCAAATTTGTCGAGAGCAATTTTTATCACTATGAATTTCTCGGCGATCACTTCGGGTCTGTAAAGGGATACGACGCCTATCAACAGAAGGCGGAGATTGCGCGTTCCACTGGCCTGGAAGGAGCGGTAGAAGGTTTCATGAAGGCGGCCAGCTGGGGCACTCCGGACCGGATCCTCAAGGGGCTCGAAGAACGTCGGGCTCTGCTAGGCAATTTCGAGTTGAACGTCGCCTTCCGCTTTGGCGGCACGCCATACCACGTTGCCGAACGGGGCCTGAAGCTCTTCGCCGATGAGGTGCTGCCGGTCCTGAAGTCCTGGTAGCAACATCGGACTGTCTGACTCAGGGGATTGCGACGCCGGGACTGGAGATGCGCTATGCGATCAATTGACATCCACGCCCACATCACTCCTCAATGCTTCTGGCGCGGCACCAGGGACGGCGGCAGCTGGCACGGATTAAGGCGGGAAAGCGACGGCCCGGGGCACGAACTGCTGGTGTCGGGACAGGAGAGAGGCCACCTCCCTCCCAAATCCAGTTGGACGCCGGAGCAGCGTCTGGCAGACATGGACTCTCTGGGCGTGGACGTTCACGTGATTTCACCGTTCGCCGGTCTTTACAACTACCACCTCGACGCCGCGGTGGCCGTGGCCACGTCCCGTGACACCAACGACGAAATCGGGCAAATGACCAAATCCTGGCCACACCGTTTCGCTGGCCTGGCGACTCTACCCATGCAGGACGTGGATGCCGCCGTGGCAGAGTTGGATCGCGTAATGGTCCAGCTGGGTTTCAAGGGCGCCGTTATCAACGACCATGTCAATGGGAGATTGCTGGACGAACCGGAATTCCTCCCCTTCTGGCAGGCAGCCGAGCAGCTGGGCGCGCTGATTCTGTTCCACCAGGGCGGCGACACGGTAGTCAGCCCGCGCATCCGTCGCTACCACCTTCCCAATACAATCGGGAACCTGGCGGACCGGACGTTGACCTTCGCGTCCCTGGTGATCGGCGGGGTGATGGACGCCTGCCCCGACCTGAAAATCTGTCTGTCCCACGGAGGCGGATACGCCTGTTATGGAGCCGGCCGCATGGATAGAGGCTGGCAGGGGCTGAGCGAAGACGAAAGGCGCAGCCTGGAGCGCCCCTCCGCTTATCTTTCCCGTTTTTACTACGACAACATCGTTTACACCGAGTCAGCGCTACGCTTCCTGATCGACACCGTGGGCGTGGACCGGGTATTGTTCGGCACTGACTGGCCTTACGATATGGCGCAGGATTGGCCGGTATCCTGGGTTTTAAGCCTTCAGAGCCTTACCCTCGAAGAGAAGGAAGCGATCCTATGGAAGAACGTGGAGCGCGTGCTGGGCCTGTAGCCGAAGCATGCAGCTCCGTTGGCCCTCCGGAGGCGAAACTTGCGCAAGATAGACGTTCACGCCCATTACATTCCCCCCAGCGTCGTGAACGCTGAGGCCGGTGGCGAAGACTGGTATGGGCTGGTTTATTCGGACCGAACCGGCCCTGGATTCGACGATCCCAACGGTCGCCGGGTGGTTATCAACAGTCCCAAGCTTCGATTTACGCCGGCAGAACGGGTGGCCGACATGGACGCCAGCGGCACCGACCTTCAGGTGGTGTCGATCCACACCCCTTTCTTTGGTTACAGTTGGGATTCTGTTCAGACGCAGGAGATGGCTCGAGAAGTGAACGATGCAATTGCCGAGCTGGTCCGGCAGCATCCCCAAAGGTTCGCTGGCATGGCAACATTGCCGGTCCAGGACGTCGCCGCATCCATCGACGAACTGGAACGGGCGGTGAAGGTGCTGGGATTGAAAGGCGCTGAGCTGGACGCGGTGGTGAACGCCGAGAATTGGGACGAACCGCGTTTCCTGCCGTTGTTCAAAGCCGCGGAGGCGATGGACGCCCTGCTCTTCTTCCACCCACAGCCCCAGGCCAACATCGTGGCGCTGGAACGGTCGCGCAAGTATTCGCTGCCCAACAGCGTGGGCGTGCCGCTGGAGGACACCATGGTAGTGGCGACGCTGATCTTTGGGGGAATTTTGGAAGAGTGTCCTAACCTGAAGGCATGTATCGCACACGGCGGCGGCCCGGCCTGTTTCGGTATGGGCCGGATGGATCACGGCTGGTTGGTGCGCCCGGAAGCCCGGGTCAATATCGCCAGGCCGCCCAGCACCTATCAAAAGCAGCTGTACTACGACTTCCTCACCAGCAGCGAACCCGCGTTGAGGTTCCTCATCGACGCGGTGGGCGCCGACCGTGTAGTGATGGGCAGCGATTGGCCTTTCGTCGAATGGGACCCGTCTCCAGGCGGTTGGTTGGATGGTTTGCAAAGCCTTTCCCACGAGGAAAAGGAAAAGATCAGTCACCAAAATCTGGAGCTGCTGCTGGGGATTTAGGTGGCTGCTTCCGGTTCAGATCAACGTTGGCGGTTCCGGTGGTTCTGCGGGCGCGTCGGTCTCCGGAGTGTCAGACACCAGCTTCACGATGCCGCCGGCGGACGCACCCACCTGGTGGGGTTTGTCGATGCCCTGCGCATCCAGTAGCCTGACGATATCGGCGCCCAAGCCCGCGAATCGTCGCATTCGTATCTGGTTTCTTACGTAGCCGGGAATGAGGCGGGGCGTTAACACATAGCGTGTACAATGGCGCAAATCGACGGAGGGAAATTTCCCCATGAAGTACGACCACATAGTTGTCGGCGGCGGCACGGCCGGGTGCATCGTGGCGGCGCGGCTGTCAGAGGATCCAGAACGTTCGGTGCTTCTGCTGGAAGCCGGCCCCGACTTTCCCGACTTCGCCCAATTGCCCGATATGCTCAAGCTGGGCTGGGGAACGGTGAATCTGGAGGCCCGCGCCGCCGGTTCGCCCTATAACTGGTCCTTCACCGGCAAGGCCACGCCGGAGCAGGCACAGCCGATGCCTGTGCCGCGTGGTAAGGTGCTGGGCGGCTCCAGCGCCATCAACGGCCAGACTTTCATCCGCGGCGCTCCCGAGGACTACGACACCTGGGCTTCCTTGGGCAACGAAGGCTGGGAGTACCTGGAATGCCTGCCCTACTTCCGCAAGCTGGAAAACGACGCCGACTTCCACGACGACTTCCACGGTACCGACGGGCCGGTTCCAGTGCGGCATCACCCGCGCGAGACTTGGCCGGTGGTGCAGGAAGCCTTTTTCCGGGCCGCCACCGCCGCCGGATACCCCTACCATCCCGACGTGAACCACCCGGAGGCCACCGGCGTCAGCCAGCGGGCCGAGAACAACATCGACGGCGTGCGGATGAGCATGGCCTTGGCCTACATTGACCCGGTGCGCCACCGGCTAAACCTCACCATCCGACCCAACGTCCAGGCCAACCGCGTGGTCCTGGAAGACGGGCCGGAAGGCAAGCGGGCGGTTGGCGTCGCGGTGGAGAGCGGTGATGAGAGTTTTGTGGTCGAAGGCGACGAAATCATCCTGTGCGCCGGCGCGGTGGCCTCGCCGCACCTGCTGATGCTGTCGGGCCTCGGTCCCGTCGAACAGTTGGCGGCGCAGGGCATCCCGGTAGCGGTGGAACTGCCCGGCGTGGGCCAGAACATGCGCGATCACCCCAATGTTTCGGTGCGTTTCAGCGTCAGGGAAGGCACATCCGAAGACCCCGACGCCATGCGGGCGTTGCGCCTGCGCTACACTGCGACCGGTTCGTCCACGCCTCACGATATGATAATTTCGCCCGCGTCGCTCAACACAGTGGTGCGGGCCGGCGAAAACCCCACCCACACCGTCAACTGCGGCCTGTACCTGGCGGCGGGACACGGCGAGCTGCGGCTGGAGTCCGCCGATCCCCATACCGCGCCCAGCATGGACTACCGCTACCTGGAAGAGGACTGGGACCGGGAACGTTTGCGGGAGAGCGCCCGCCTCTGCGTGTCGCTATTGCAACACAGCGCCTACGGCGGCATCATCGAAGAGATAACCGCTCCGACGCCCGCCGACCTGGAGACCAACGAGGCGCTGGACGGCTGGCTGCGCCGCAACATCAGCACCTCATACCACATCTCCGGCACCTGCAAGATGGGACCCGACAACGACCCAATGGCCGTTGTGGACCCGCAGCTGCGTGTGCGCGGCGTTTCCGGCCTCCGCATTGCCGACGCCTCTATAATGCCCGACGTAGTGCGCGCCAACACCAACGTCACCACGATGATGATTGCCGAGCGCGTCTCCGACTTCATCAAGGCTGGGAATTAAACGCGGATGGCGGCCGTGATTCCCTCCTCCGTTGCCAGAGAGTTAGCGTGAGAGCGGCGAACTGAGATTCCCGGCGTCGATCACTCGTTGTTAGCCGGTGTTTGTGATGGACGCCGGTTGGCTCATGGCCGGAACGGCCTTGGCCGGCTGTGGATCAGGGTGGTTCATCAGTCGTGAGAGGCATTGCTGGGGCAAAGTTGCCGGCCAAATTGGCCCGGGCCGAACGTTGCGCGACATTTTTCGAGGACTCAGAGCAATCAACGATTTCGCTCCCCGATCAGACCGACCAAATCGCCGGATGTAGACTGCGCCATCGCAACCGAATCAGGGGGTGGGTCAATTCCCATCCGGAGTAAGCAGCCCAGGATTAAATCGACGTTGACCCAACCAGCGATTTAGCATCGCAAATCAGACCGGATGGGATGGAGTAACACTATTGCCAATCCTGTGATCAGGTGATCTCGCCGCGCAAAATCGTCCTTTGGCGGTATGCGGCGCAGTTGCCGGCCCAGGCCCCGCGTTGGCGGGAACATCCCTTGATTGCCGCTGCTCGCCCCGTCGCCGGCGAGCCGGCGGTAGCCCTTGGCGACCAGTATCATGGCGCCGGGCGCAGACGATATGGCGCATTTGCTGCCAAAGGGTTTTAGGAGGACCTACATGTACAAGATCGGGATAGACGTTGGGGGCACCTTTACCGATTTCGTCGTAGCCGGCGAAGGGGAGCCGCCACGCTTCTTCAAGACTCAGTCCACCACCAACGACCCGTCCATCGGCGTCATGACCGGGTTGCAGGACGCGGCAGCCGCCTGCGGACTGTCCCTGGATCAGTTGCTGGGCGACACGGACCTGGTGATCCACGGGTCGACTGTAGCCACCAACACGCTGGTAGAACGGAAAGGAGCAAAGGTGGGGCTCATCACCACCGACGGCTTCCGTGACCTCCTGGAAATGCGCGAGGGATTGAAAGAGGACCGGTACAACCTCAGGATGACCCCCGTCGAGCCCTTGGCGGCCCGTCACCTGCGCGCAGGCGTGCCTGAACGGGTTCGTTCCAATGGCTTAGTGGAACTCCCCCTGGACCAGGATGCGTTGGTCCGACACCTGGACTTGCTGGTCCAGGAGGGAGCCGAAGCGTTGGCGGTCTGTTTCCTGTTTTCGTACCTCAACCCCTCCCACGAACAGCAGGCCTGGGAAAACATACGCCGCCGCTATCCGGACATGTACACCTCCCTCTCTCACGAGGTGATTCCCCAGATCAAGGAATTCGACCGCCTGAGTACTACGGTGATCAACTCTTACGTGGGACCGGTGTTCAGCCGCTATCTGCTGCATCTGAAGAACCGGTTCGAGCCTTACCCCCAATTGAAGGACGTGCTGATCATGCAGTCCAATGGCGGTGTGGCCCCGATAGACGACTCCAGCCGCATGGCGGTGCGGGCAATCCTGTCCGGTCCGGCCGGAGGGGTCAGCGCCGCCGCCCACATCGGCCAGCTGTTGGAGGAATCCAAAGTAATCGCCTTCGATATGGGCGGCACCAGCACCGACATCTCCCTGATCGAAAACGGGACTCCCCACGTCACCAACGAGAAGTTCGAGGCCGGGTGGAAGATCGCCGCCCCGATGATCGACATCCACACGCTGGGCGCCGGCGGGGGCAGTATCGCCAGGGTGGACGATGGGGGGATTCTCCATGTCGGCCCCGACAGTGCGGGGGCTGAACCCGGCCCCGCGTGCTATGGAAAGGGAGGCGTGAATCCCACCGTAACCGACGCCAGCCTGGTGTTGGGCTATCTGGATGCCGCGAATTTTCTGGGCGGCAGGGCCAGGCTCGACTCGGCAGCCGCCGAGCAATCCGTGGCTGATCACGTAGCCGCACCGCTCAATCTCTCCAATGTCGAGGCCGCCTACGGCGTGTACAAGGTAATCTGCACCACAATTGCCCAAGGCATCAGACTGATGTCGGTGCAGCGAGGTGTCGACCCGCGAGCATTTACCCTTCTGGGATTCGGCGGCGCGTCGGGCCTTCACGCCTCGGAGGTTGCCCGTCAATTACAGGTGACAAAGGTTTACATACCGGCGTCGGCGCCGGTGTTGTCGGCCTACGGCATGTTGAACACCGACATCAAGTACGATTTTTCCCAGTCCTGCCCCGTGAGCCTGGACCGGCTACAGCTGAGCGAACTCCGGCCGATTTTTGAAGAACTGGAGGCCCAGGGACGTGACAAGCTACTGGCCCAGGGCGTCGCTCCGGAAGCGGTGGAAATACAATACTCTGCGGACATGCGGTACCTGGACCAAATCTACGAAGTCGCCGTGCCGCTGCCCGATCCTACGCTGCCGGACTCCGTGTTCCTGTCCAGATGGACGGCTAATTTTCACCAACGGTATCAGGAGCTCTACTCCTATAGCCAACAGGACCAGGAGGTGCGGTTGGTCACCATTCGAGCGACGGCAATCGGTAAGCTCCCCAGGATGGCCCAGCTCGACCGGGCGGAAGCTGAGAGCACTGCCAGTCCGTCCGGCAGCCGCTGGATCTTCCTTGGTGAATGGCGGCAGGCGCCAACCTACGCGACTGACGCCCTGCCTACCGGTTCGGAAATCGCCGGGCCGGCGGTGTTGGAGTCAGATTTCACTACCATCCTCGTATGTCCGGGCGATCACGCCACGGTCGATTCCATGGGCGGCATCGAGTAAGTGAGTACGCCGGGAGAGAACTGGGAAGTGGGGGGGGCAGCGCGGGAGCGTGCCCGGGCCCGAACGGCCGAGGGGTCGGGGCGAAGTTCGGGTCGGCGCGGAGGGGCCGCAGAGAGGGACTGCTGCCCGCGGCGATCGAAAAACGGCGGCGGGGCGTTTGGCCGTGCTTCGGACACCCTCATACATACTTACACGGAGGGGAAAAGGGACTGAACGCGGCAGCCCTCGTGCCCGGAGGCGTAAGGCGGGAGCAACCTACCGGAACGACACGGGCGGGGGCAGCCCCAGAAAGGGAGCGAAATCCCGGTGGGGGCGCCGGCGCAACGAAGCGGCACTTGGAACAGCTGCGTGGCGCGACCACCGTCAGTTGGGCTGCAGGGGGGTCTTTGGTCGAGACGCGGCGGAGGAAGTGTTCTCGCAAGTCTCGGGGGAAGAATGGGGGTAATTCCCGGATGGCAGGGGCTTCGGGCAAAACTCGCGGGCTGACTGGCCGAGTTGGTCGCGGAACCGGGCAAGGCGTTCATACGGCTGAGCTCCGCGCCGGCCTCCGAGGTGGGGCACGATGCCCCACGCAGGCCTCTCGTCGAGGACGCCGGGGGCCAAGGCGGAGCGGATTGGGCGGCCGACCGGGAATGGCCCGCCCCGCGCGGGATGCCCGGCGGTCATCGCGGACTTAGGGTGGAGATGGTGCGGTGGGCAGAGGCCCCCCCGGGGCCGGGCCGTACGTCCGGCGGCTTTCCGGACCTTCCAAACGGGAGGTTTGGGCGCGGCTTATCTGGCTCGCGTTCGGGGTACTGCGAAGGGGTTGAGCAGGGGGCCGGAAAGTTGAAACGAGTGGCTGGGCTGGTGGGGGGGTCCCGGCCGCGATGTCGCTGCGCCGGCTCGGGGGTGGAGGGGAGGCTGCGCCCGTATGCCAGGGACGACACCCCCATTAGGCCGCCCGGAGCTGGCAAGGGTAAGCTCAGGCGGGGGGCGGTGTGCGGCGCCCTTGGGTGACCCGCTGGAGACATAATCCGGCATAACGGTGGGGAGGCTGGAACAGTCGCGCTGGGACAAGTTGGAGACAGTGCCAGGTGGAACCTGATGGGACGGGCTAGCTCCCGGAGGTGGGGGCGTCTACAGGGGCTTGTAGACAGGGGACTGGTCAGGAACGAGAGCGGACAAGTGGACTAGGCAGGTTTGGTAGATGTGATTTCGTTGGGTGTTATTTGGTTGGTTTGTTTCTTTTGGTGTCCCGTATGTTGTTAACCAGGGAGGACGGCCAAAGAGCGGCAAATATAGGTCAAAAGATGAAAATAAAGATGAAGAGTAGGAGCGGAGGGTAAGAAGATCGGAGGTCGGAGATAAGATCCCATTCAAGATGGCCGATGGCGGTGGTGGAACACCGGTTGGAGTCCATTGCTCAGGAGATGACCGAGGCGATGCTACGTACCGCCATGTCCCAGATCCTCAACTCCAGCCGGGACTTTTCCACCGCGATTCTGGACGGTGACTGCCAGCTGGTGGCACAGGGCGAAGGGATCCCAGTGCACATCAGCGCGCTACCGGTGGCCGGCGCCGCCGTCCGGGACTACTTTGGGGAGGACATCTCCGAAGGAGACCTTTTCATTCTGAACGACCCATACTTTGGGGGCAGTCATCTGCCTGACATTACCATCATCCAGCCCATTTTTCACGAGGGACGGGTACTGTTTTACGGGGTGAACCGAGCCCACCACAGCGACGTGGGAGGAGCCACCCACGGTGGTTATAACCCCGCCGCCAACGAGATATTCCAGGAGGGCCTTCGCATCCCTCCCCTAAAGCTCTATGACCGGGGAGTCCCCCGCCGCGACCTGCTCCAAATGCTGTCAGCAAACGTCAGGCAATCGGAGAATTTCCTGGGTGACCTCAATGCGCAGATAGGCTCGGTGATGTTGGCCGCCCAGCGGATCGAATCTCTGCTGGCTGACTATGGCGCCGACCGTTTGATGGCCGTCGTAGCCGGGATCCTGGACGCCACCGAGCGCCAGGTGCGGCAGTTCATCTCCGGGTGGCCCGACGGCGTGTACTACGGAGAGTCGTTGATCGACGATGACGGATTCGACAGCAAGCTGGTGCCTATCCGCGCGAAAGTAACCATTGCCGGCGATTCCATGACTATCGATCTCAGCGAGTCCAGTCCTCAGGTTGAAGGATTCATCAACAGCGCTTACGCCAACACCCGATCTCTGGCCCACGCTGCGATCATGTACCTGGCGCCGATCGATGTGGCCCGCAACGAGGGTTCCATGCGGCCCGTCCAGATAATCGCCCCCAGGGGACTC